TTTTTTTTTTCCCTTAATAATAAAAACCTTCATTTAAAAACATGCAAAAAAATAAGATATCAGGAATGGGGCAAACACTTTTTCACACCACTGTATATGTTTAATTTCTAAATATATTCTGCTCTATATCAGTAAATATCATCTAAATATTCCTTTGAGAAATGTATCACTAAATTTATTTTTTTATTTATTTTTTACATTTAGGCACAATGGTAATGTATTAATATATACAACACTTGTTAGTGGAGAAAAGCATCTATTTACGCAGAAACGTTCTCTTTTCCAGCTGTACAGAAAACATATAGTGAATACTAATGGGATGTGATGTGGTGTGGAGTTTCTATCTTTGCTATAGTATAAGAATTTAAAGGTGGTGCTAAGCAGACTATACCTCTGAAAAACGGAGAAAATGGGAATATGTTGTGATAACTCTACCTTTAATTGAAAAAAAAAATGTTCTATCCTTGATTTACAGTCACTTCACAGATGCTTTGTTCAGCTTAACCCAGCGGATTTCTTCAGCATTAAAACCCCAAGAGCCTTTCATATGTTTCATTTGCCACAGGCCCAGCAATTGCAATTAGACAATCGACCGGCTATGAGAAACATAATCGAAATTTAAACAATTTCATTTCCAAGAACAATACTCATTCACAATGGAATTTTTTTTCTAGACAGCAGAGAGAACACTTCATAAAGTTTTTTGATACTTTAATTTCTGGGAACACAGTCTTTTACCTGATAGAACCAACAAGAGTTTTTTAAACACTTTTATTGTTACAATTTCTAGTGCATGGTATCATTTAAAATGTTTCCATTAAGTGAAGATATGATATAATCATATCAAGTGATGTAACTATACTGTAGATATAGAGAGTGCAATTATTTACATTACAATTTAATAAGTAGTTGATATGTATTGTGATGTGCACCTATAAACTGACAGCACAAAAGGCTAAAAGCCTAGCTTGATAAATTAATATAATTTCAGAGTCTTGGGCAAGGAATTATGCATTGAGCTGCACATTGTCTATACAGACACTTCACACACAAATGTGCACATGGTTTCTAACAGTAGTCAGGTCATAGGGCAAGTCTTTAAATCACAGTTTATTTATTTAATGCAGAGTGCAGCTGCAGTTACTTTTCATTATCACAATATTACTGTTGTTTTTCTTCCATATCGAAAATCACTTGGGTAAATGATTCATTCAGGTAGTACGTGCAAAATAACATGTAATTCTCTACAGTGCATTTGACTACTCTTAAAAAGTTGCTAACAGTCAAGACTGCATCAAAGGCATGTAAAAGAGTGTGCTTATGGCTGATTTGGTAGCACAGAGCAACAGACCTTCACGCTGCATCATTGAACAAAACCACAATATGTTAGAAAAGCACAATAACCCTGTAAGAGCTAGATAGGTTTTCACACAACACATATCCTTGGTTATCTGAATTTGTATAGGCATTCCTGTTTCAGCGAGATGACGATTTTTTCACCTCCATGTAAACAATATCTACAGTAGTGTTGAAAGTGCACAGCAATCTTGTCAGTTTTCCATTGTTTGACATTCAGTGTCAAAGGCCGCGTGGGTACTATGCCAAAGTGTAATCAAACTGTCCCTTCTCCAGGCCGTCTAGCCCATCTGCCCAGGTGGAGGTGGGCATGCTACGGTAAGGATCAAGGAGGATGCGGAAGCACCTGACGATAAGAATCCCAAGAAATACAAACAGGAAAATAACAAAAGCAAATGTCGTCTTCTGCTCCAGAGTAATGCCAGTGTCTGCAATAGCATCACCTGCTGGTAGTAGAGTGGAAGTGAAGAGCTCACCATCCATCATCCAGGAGAGTTGAAGTGGACAATCCCAGAATATCCTCTTTCTCATCATTAGCTTCCCATGGCTGAGCTCTTTGGGGTAAACCTTATCATCTATAAGATAAAAGGGTAAAAATAGGCTGTGTAGTCAACAGCAATCTTTTTTGTTCATCAGTACTGTAGGTATAAATATACAGATGACTAATTAATATCTGTGCCTCAAATTTACAATCGATCAAGCTCTTTTAGAGTTTCCTCTAGTTTTTACTTGATTTAATCACTCAAATCAGGCAGATGCTACTTAAGACAATGCTCAAACACCAAATGTTCCGTTCCTTTTTTACAAGGTGTCATTTTGGAGACCATGGGTTTTACCTAATTAGATATTCAGTCTAGTGGCCTGCCTTATTTTCTTTTAAATAGCACTATTTTGTTTACAACAAGGCTATTTAAAATTTCTTTTAAATAGCCTTTTTGCAAATTAAATAGTGAAGGAAAGGAATCTTTACAGAGCACTGTTCACAGTTAAAGTCTGTATTTCTACATAAAAATATGGTCAGAAGACCATATTCTTACATAGAATATTCCCCTTCTCCTTTGCTTATTTTGGGTTAAATAAACAGACACCACCACCAGATGTATGTACTGTATTTTACTTCTGCATTCAGAGTTGGATTTAAAGTTAAATGCCAAGAGAAATATAATTACAAGCAATTAATGTTTGAGAAAAAACTGTAATATCTCTTCTTGTGAAAAAATACATTCCATGATAGAACATGTATGGTTTTGTATACTGTATTTGTTCCAGAGCAACCCTGGTCCTGTAAGCACTCTTCTAAGGAGCTATAAGAGTTTTGTATCACACATCACAGAGGGCTATGATGTAGTTTTGTATTTCACCTTTAGATCCAATTGTCATGATCAAGGACACTTTTTGATACAGCACATTTAGTTTCCAGTGTGTGGTCTGTAATAACCATGACCTTCTGCACTGTGCAGGGAGTTATTGGATTTTAAATATGGCCTTTATAAAGGCACAGAGGTCATTGACAAGGCCATTTTATGCCAGAGTACACAAGTGTTTCTATTTGTATTCCATAGTAACCTTGGCCCTATCTGAACTCCTTTAAGGTGTTACAAGCTAATTTTTCATCTGACCAGAAGGACAGGTCTTATATGACTACCAGATCACGTGACCAGTCATGTTTATTCATCATTTGCACAGGTTATTATTCCTGTGTGCTTATTAATGAACCCACAACATTGTAATATTGAAACCTGTATATCAGGACATAAAAATACATCAATATTAAGCACATCTGAAATGTGATTGCCTTGTACAAGTCATGTTTCTTAATGTAGCATGTTATGTTATTTTCAAAGAGATTCTATGTGAAAAGCATTCCGAGATGTTACTGTTAATAAATCCAGTTTCAAGAACCCAGGTGATGAATCTGCTTGCCCTTGACCGTTCTAAACCTTGCACATTAGGTAAACCCGTACACCAGGTTTCAAAGATTTTTGTATATTATGAGTTTTCTGTTGTGTTGCTGGAAAACATATTTTTATTATTAAACTTATTAAAACTTCATAGTACCAAAATTAATTTGTTTGCATGAATAGAAAACCTATTCACTCAAGGACTTGAGTCAAACCAATGTATTGCTAAGAAGTATTGTTTCATTTCAGTCTGCACCAAATGCCCTTTTGCATTATAAGAGATTCCTCCCCTCATTGTCAGACTCCTACTACCCCACAGATCGGCTTGAACAAAACAGTAGCCAGCATAACATTCACTATGCTTCATAAATGTTGTCTTCCATTAGGTCTGTCAAAGGCAGTACAGCATTCATCAGTGAATAAAACGCAGAGGCACTCTCTCTGCCACCACTTCAGATGTTTTCTGGATACCAGAGGACAGCAATTTCATCTTCCAACAATCAACGCGTTACTCCTGACTGCGTTACAGTCATTCTGCTGATGTGAGTGTTTTCTTCCTAGAATCATGCTGTAGCCACTGCTGTCTGAAAAACAATTGGTAAGTTGGATCAGAAGGATGTGTCTATTGTGGTGACCTTCTGCCTGGCAGGATATGACCCGTCTCTCACAAAGCCGGCTTTCCTGATTTCTCTGTAATAGTCTGCTGATTCATGAATGTGAACATCTTATTCTCTGGGAAACTTCATTTACACATAGGCCTAGTATTGCAGTAGAAAAAACAAAAACAGGTGATCTTCATTACTTAAGAGGAGGGAAAGTTTAATTTTTTTTCTTCTCTTTTTGAAGGGCTACTTATTCAGATTTTAAATTAACTAACTTTGACAATTTTAATTCAATTCATATACCTGGGCACTCTGTGTATTTAGGAAATCTTAAGACTTGATTTCAGTATTTTGTCATGGCAAGGGCCATTACCATTCAGACAACAAACCCATCTGTTCACTATGTAAATGTGAATAACATTATTTATCTGCCCAAATGAGCTATTGTTGTGAAACAACAATGGTATTTGTTTTCCCTTCCTTAATAACCATGGACTGTATGTTTCAAATGATTACTTCGCATTAGGGGAGCATTGTCTGAACCAGAATATTCATATTTGATTTACATTGAATAAAAATAAGTGTTCGCTTCATGATAAGCAGCACAATGAAAAAAATTAAATACTGTCAAGATAGCAGATATGCAGGTAAAAAAGGCTTCAATGTCAATGATAAAAATGTTTACATGAACTAATATTAATCCAAAGTAGAATGTACAGATGACTGTTTTCTGCACTTGGCAGATTTGGTATTTGAAGGTATTTTTATATTCTTAAAAATAGAAAAATGGAACATTTGGCAGAAAGCATGAAAACAGAAAATGTTTTCTGCAGCCTGTGGATCAGATGGTTTGGGAGGGTAGCTTGAAACTCCACTTATTCGTGGACATATCCTAGTAGAACAGTATGTGACTAAAGCTTTGATGCTGTTGAGAGCACTTTCGAATGCAAGACTCATACCACATACTCTAGATGTTATTGAAACACTAAGGGAAGGTATAAAATAGGTCTTGTGATCTTGTGATAATCACCACACCAACTCTTAAATGATTGTCTCCTCTGAAAACACAGTCAGGTTAATATGATAATCAATACAGGGCATAACAACCCAAATTCAAGATAGCGGTGAGGCTGATCTGCATGAATTTAGATCAGGATTCAGGATTGCTCAATTTTATGAAGGGATATTATTAGGAATAAAAATAATACAATTAAAAGGCTTATGGAAAAAGATGGAAAGTAGAAAGTAGAACAGTGAAAGTTGCTAAGGTATACAGTAACTAAGTATTAGTAAACTCAAATTCTAATAAGAAGCAAGAGGGAGGACGTGACATTAAACTCTTATCAAGGTAAAGATTTTACGGTATTCCTATCAAGCCTTGGATCCAAGCACAAGGTAGAGTACATGCAAATTATTCCCTTTAGAGGCGTGCAAACAAGAGAAGCTTGAAGTGTTCTTAATTTTCTAGATAGCGGGGTAGTACGCATCATCTGATCCATGAGACTTTATCAATTCGAGGAGAAGAGGTGTGAACCAAAATAGGAGCTGAACCAGTGTTCCTGTGGAGGTTAGGGAGATGGTCCAGCCTGCTGGCTGGAGAGGACGGAGCAACGTGTTATGTTCAATGTGTTAATTCATGCAAATTGGACTTCCCTGGTCCAATTGAGCTCCCTGCTACTTCTCTTCGAAGGGACAGACAAAAGCTAATAAATCATTTGATTTATTTCATTTCATTTGATATGAAACAAGCATATCTCTCTTGTTCCTTGAATAATTATGGTGCCTTTTTGCATTTTAATTGAATATTTTGAGCTTAGCCTTTTGTTAAGAGAATGAAGTAAGTGATGTGGCAACACATCCAGTTCTTCAGACAGTGTTTACCAATAAAGAAATACATTTTTATTGATTGTAATTTCAAACTTGCTATACAAGCAATGAAAGGGAGGTTGAACCTCATTTAACCACTAGAGGGGTGACTCAGTATTTTAAGCTTGGATCCTCCTCTGATGTGGCTGGATCAGAATAACTTATTCTCTAAATTCTAAATATTTTTAGTAATGCTTGTTGCAATTAAAACTCCTGCAGAACTCAATTTAGTCTATTATAAAGAGCTTCTTAATTTAAGACCAAACAAGCGATATCTATGGGCATTTGCTTGGATATCCCTTGTTTATTATGGTTTAATGTAGTTGGTTATGTTTCTTTGAACTATAAGAGTGTGATTTCTTCATTTAATATCAACAGAATGGTCAAACATTCTTGGAACATAGGTTATCTATGGATGATTGTAAGGTATGTTTGCCCAGTTTCTTAAAACTGACCCTGAACAAAAATACTTTCTTGTATTCCTTATCAATTTATGATCTTTATGTATCTGGATAAATATCTGATTCATGTATCTGGAGCAGGTTGTCTCTTCTCTTGACTTGAATCGCTAGGCCTACTTTTTTCATGGCCAAATGGTTTTATGAAGGTGTCGGTGCAACGCTTATGTCTCCTTGAGAAGAAGGTTCACAGTCTTTCTTGCCTTTGCGGTGCAACAGGGATAGATGTCTCATGTACTGGATACATGCAAACTTATTTTGTAGCAATTGATGAGCACACATATCCAATATCAGATAGTATGACTTACTTATTGGCCCATTCAATAAACAGTTTTTTTTAGCAATTCCTTGTTTTCATCAAATACACATTTAGGTCCCTGTCATGTTGGAACAGAGACTCACATCCATTAAGCTGTTTGATAAATGTTATCCTTCTTTTTTCCCACAGTTTAAGCATGCACACTCTACTCATGTCAAAGTCAATAAAGTGTTAATTCATCAGGGTCATCGGGGTGGCATCTTCTCCATATCAAAAAGTCTCTAACTACCATAGTTTAGTGAAACTCACAGTGAAACTCACAGGTAGGAATGTTGCCCTTTTTTCGGAACACATAAATCTTTCTACTTAAACCACTTTTTTAGTTTGGCACAAATCTTTCCTTGATTTGTTATCATTTTAGTGATGCATATCCCTCCGACAAATGGCGTGAAGCACAGTACTGTATAATCCTCACTCAGATATATTTTTGTTTGTATAAACGCTACAGACGTGTAGTCCTTAATCTATGCTACATGGTTAATCCTTCAAATTCAAAAGTAGAACCTCAAGAAAGGCTACAACTAAGATTTTGGCCCAAACTGGCCCATTAAGTTCTGCTTCAGTCATATAGTCAGTACTTACTGGTCACACTGTCAATGATCGTCTAGAACGGTAGAGTTTAGAGTAACCCTTCTAAACTAATGTGCACTTCTTTGCACATTAACAAAAACCACAGAATTTAACAAAAACCCACACAAAAAATGAGGAGAGCATTCAAACTTTATATGAAAAAGTACCCAAAGTCTCAGTCGAACCCTGAAACTGTAATGCAGCGGTGCTGGCCACTACACTACTCCCCCACCTCACTCAGAGTCACCTACTGTACGTATGTGGGTGAAAACTATATTTCTTAGTAACAAACATCTATAGATTTTTAAGAACAGAAAATATTGTTAATTTTTTTGTCATGGCTTGCCTGATGATTTTATTAGTATCTTGTGTAGAGTTTTAAAGTGTTTATGAATAGTGATTATTCTGTTTTCTCTCTTCCTGTTTTCAATTAACTAAAGTATAATAGAATATTACAGATGTTGTTTTTTTTAAATGAATCTGTATAACACTGGAAATCATATAAAATAGAAGAAAATAAATGTTTAATAGTCAACCCTGAATATATATTACTAAAGTAAATTTT